CACCTATGTAGAGATATGTAGATATTTCTATATTGCTTTAACCCATACTAGTTGGGGCCCATCCTTCCCACCCAGAGTTCCTTAAAAAACAAATAAGCAAGAAAGTTGCAATTCTGTAAATGTATTTTTTAAAAACAAGTAAAGCTAATTACATTTTTTTTTAAAAAAACTGCTTTAATAAGAAGAGATGGTTTTAAGGCTTTGGCTCCCAGTGTATGGTTTCATAGCAGCAGTGATGATTTTAGATTAACGATGCTCACATTAAACCCTTCTAGCTTGTTTTCCCTCTCTGATAAGCCACTGCAAAGCCTGCTTTTGGGGATCGTTTTAACAATGTTTTCAGAAGGAAAGGGAGGACCTCGACGGCATTATTTATGGAAACTTTGGATATGTTTTTATTACCCGTTTTAATATATCTGAATTTGTTTTGAAGGCTACCTCAAGGCCCCAGGAACACACATCCTCTGTAACGTTCAGCTCTTACTTGCCATGTCCAAGTTGATTTTGTTCAAGGCAACAAAAGAAAACGAAGCGTGAACACCAGATTTCCAGCTCTTTGCAAGTGTGCCAGGCAGTGCGTGGGGGCATTATTTAACCAAATTCTCGTCCCCAAGCATACTGTTTGGTTCGCAAGGGGTTGTGTGTTTGCCTGGTCTTGCAAGTGGTCAGGAAGGTCACAGGGTAGAGTTTTTCTAGGGCTTCTGCTGGGGGATCGTTTACAGTGAGACGAGTACAAGCTTTGCGGCTTTCTGTCTTGCACGCGAAGCCAAACCTCTGCTTAGGACTGCGGCTGCTATTTGGAGACCGCTGACGTGCCTGCAGGAGCTGAGCTCTCCAAACCAGACCTTGGTCGAAGTCACGTGCCATAGAGGTTGATCCGGCCGCAACAGAGACCCCTTTTATTCAAAAAGAGTTCCCCCCGAAGCTGGCAGAGTGGAGCAAAAACAGATTTAATAAGGAAGGGGGAAACCAGGCAGGACCAAGGCAAGAGGGGCTGCCTTTCTGGCCGCACAATGCCATCTGCAGCAGTGTTCCCTCTAAGCCGAGTTCGTGTGAGCTAGCTCACAGTTTTATAGCCTCCAGCATTTTTGTCTTGGCTCAGGGAGCGATGGCTCCAGAGCAAACTAAGTTATGCAACAGCCAAATTGTTCGCTCACAACTTTCATGCCAGTCGCTCGCAAAGTAGAAATTTTGCTCACAAGACTCCACAGCTTAAAGGAAGCATTGAACTGCAGTTACCTTGTTTTTATACCGGGCCTCAGAAGTCACACTGTACTTAGCTTACACGTCACCCAAAGCCCATTCAAGTAGTCATTTGATCTGACTTCTTAAGCCTCTTTTTCTGAGAGTAACCCGGCAGCCTTCTTTTCGGTTTGATGAAAGCTCTCCCCGGTGGGTCACTTAGTGTTTCAGAGGAGACTGACGGAGACCCAGGGCAGTGCCTGGGCTGCCTCTTTAAGATCTGACGCACAAGCTGCTCTGATGTCCTCCTTCCTCCCATGGTTTGTTTCTGGTTTGACATTGCTGGGCTTCACCACTACCTTTTGAGTCTGTTATCTTTTTTACCATTTACTATTTTTGGGCAGGAACGCACAGGAACAGAGTTCCGGCTGGCTCCCAAGTTGGCCACGCCCAGCAGGAACTCATTAGCATAACAGGCCACACCCAACAGCAGGAACTCATTAGGATTGGCTACATTAGGAGTGTGTGGCCTAACATGCAAAGGAGTCCCTGCTACAAAAAAAGGCCCTGGGTTTTGACAACAAAGAAGGCAAACAGAATAAGAAGCAAAAGGTGGGTGTGGCTGGATGAGCACACTTCTGGTAACATGGGGGTGCAGCCTAATGTGCTAATGAGCTGTGCTGTCAGGGGTGTGACCTATTATGCTAATGAGTTCCTGCTGGGCTTTTTCTACAAAAAGAGCCCTGTTTTTAACTATCCCCGTCCTCCAAGGGAAGCATACCTTTTTTTGCCATCAAGCTGCGTCTGACTCTGTAAGGTTTCTAAAGCAAGAGATGAACAGAGGTAGTGTGCCGTTGCCTGTCTCTGTGTAGCAACCCTGGACTTCCTCGGTGGTCTCCCATCCAAGTACTCACCAGGGCTGACCCTGCTTAGCTTCTGAGGTCTGACCAGATCAGGCCAGTCTGAGCTGTCCAGGTCAGAGCCAGTTTGGTGTAGTGGTTAAGTGTGCGGACTCTAATCTGAGAGAACCTGGGTTGATTCCCTACTCTTCCACTTGCAGCTGCTGGATGACCATGGGCAAACCATAGTTCTGTCAGAGCTGTTCTCTCGAGGACAGGTAGGTGGGGCTGAGAGAGCTCTTTCGAGGATTGCTCTTGAGAGAACAGCTCTGAATGATCCTGTAACTGACCCAAGGTCACACCAGCAACTGCATGTGGAGGAGTGGGGAATCAAACCCGGTTCTCTCAGATTAGAGTCCTTGCTGTTAACCACTACACCAAACTGGCCCTGGAGTTCTGGGAGGGGATCTTAGCAATGTATGACACCATGCAGTCTGACCTTAAAAGCAGCCATTATCTCCTGGGGAGCTGATCTCTTGGTTTTTCTTCCATCCCCAAGAGCCTCCTCACCATTCAGAGAGTCTGTGTCTGTCTGTCTGTCTGTGTATGTATATATGATATATATATACTTCTGATGTGTATTCCAGCAACCGTGGTTGAAAATCAATGAAGCTTCAAAGCAAATCCACTGAGAAGCTCTCTGCTGTGTGTTCTTACCAGTGGAAAGAAACCAGCGTATTTTAAGAAGGGAACTCTATATGAGCTTTGGGAGGCTGAGGGAGAAGTGGAGGCCTTTGTAGCCATGGCTTTTCAAAGCTGACTGGTTACCCAGGGACTGCTGATGACCTGCAGAGATGCCAGCCTGCCGAGCGATGACTTTTGTTTGACGGATGTGGCCGCTCCGCAACTTTCTCAGCAATCGTCTCTTGTCTTTGGGCAGCAGGGGACGATCTGCTTCTGGAGAACTGGAGATAGCCTTCTATGGAGACGCTCCAAGTTTCTGTTCCCAGCTTGTATTGTGAAGCAGTCTCGCATGCAGACCCGTAGCTAACGCGGGGTCCGCGGGGCCCGGCTCCCAGCGTTTCTTCTGGGCCACCTCCCTCCCGGTGAGGCGTTTGGGTTCCAGGGCACAGAGATTTCCTGGCAGTTCCGGGCGCCCCCTCGGGAGCTCCGCAAGTCTGGGCTGCCACACCCCCTCCCGCCCTGACAATAGAACCTAGGCCAGGCAGCTCCTTAGGATGCCGCTCTGGGATGCGCTCAGACTGCTGGGCACTTGCGAAGCAATGATCCCTCGGGGAAAGCTGGGAGGGAGTTGAGCGGGCGGATGCACCAGCCACCGGGGAGTCCTTCTGGGGCTTCGGGAGCAATCCCTTGGTTGCCTTTGTTAGGGAGTCGCCACTGTGTGCGCCCGTGTGGATGTGCCCCCTCCCCAGTGTGCATGTGTGTGAGAAAGAGAGCATGCAGAACGTCTCCCCCAACCTCCCTGCACACACGTGCACGGCAGCCGAGTGACCTGGAGGTCTGGCTTGGAAGAGGAGAGGAGACGAGGAGGGCGTGTTCTGGTGCTTGCGCCTTCTTCCAGCACGGGTTGTGAGATGGTACGTCTATTAGGGTGCACAGGGTATCTTCGACACTTCATTTGGGAATTGCCCTCCCGATGCAACTCCTGAAATATTTTTATTGGTGGACCGTCCCAAAACTAAGAAGACCTTTTACTTTGGCAAGACTGAACGTTCTCCCCTCGGCAGGTTTGGAGGGCAGATATAATAAAGTATCGTACAATTGAAACTGTCGAACGTATGATTATGGAGTGCCCCATATTCGTGGAGCCGAGGGGCTAATTTAGTCACCCCTTGACTTAAAGATACGGAACTGCTAAATGTGCGAGCCCAGGTGTCATGGCTACTATTGGATACAAATGATCGTGTCACCCTCTCGGCGGTGGTAAAATTAATAGGCGCAATAATCAAATACAAGGGAAATAATACTAAGGTCTTTTAAAATATTTTTCTGGTTCTAATTTCTGCTTAAGGTGATAGCCGTATGAGCAGAGATAGATAGATACAGGGCTATTTTGGGGCAGGAACGCACAGGAACAGAGTTCCTGCTGGCTTCTGAGTTGGCCACGCCCAGCAGGAACTCATTAGCATAGTAGGCCACACCCAACAGCAGAAACTCATTCGGATTGGCTACAATTAGGGGTGTGTGGCCTAACATGCAAAAAGCCCTGGGTTTTGACAACAAACAAGGTAAACAGAATAAGAAGGGAAAGGTGGTTGTGGCTGGATGACCACACTTCTGGTAACATGGGGGTGTGGCCTAATGTGCTAATGAGCAGTGCTGTCAGGGTGTGGCCTAGTATGTTAATGAGTTTTGCTGTTGGGTGTGGCCTATTATCCTAATGCGTTCCTGCTGGGCTTTTTCTACAAAAGAGCCCTGGATAGATAGATAGATAGATAGATAGATAGATAGATAGATAGATAGATAGATAGATGCCCTGGGCTGGGTTAGCTGCTGCTCCCCCAGCCCCTTCCCCACAAAATCCCTAGCTATGGGGCTACTCACATGTGAAAAATTCAGAGTGTAGGACACATGATGTGAATGCCTCCTCGGTGAATTTCTGTGGCTGCCTCAAGGCCAGTTGGTGTCTTCCACAGTATTAAGCAATAAAGCTTTTCTTGGCTATAAGTGTATTTGTGTGCATGTGTTGGTGGAGAGATGTCGTTGTTAGTGTGCTGGAGACCCAAGTTCAACTCTCTGCTCGGTCATGAAGCTTGCCACCTTTCCAGGCAAATAGGGTCCCCAGGGCAGAGATCATCGAAGCATTAAAACATTGCAAAACTTGTGCTGGTTGAGGGAACCGGGGGAGGCACAGGAGAGCGCACCTCAGATGGCCTTTTCCTCCGTGAATGCTCCATCCTGACATCTCTCCATTCTTTTCTCCTGCTTTAATTCTGTCGGCTGTATTCTATTTCCTAGTCATCAACACCTGCTCCATCAACAACGGCGGATGTGAACACGATTGCCTGCAGCTCACCGTCTCGCAGCATCAGTGCCAGTGCCGACCTGGCTACCAGCTCAAGGAGGATGGGAAACATTGCGTCGGTGAGTCCCCCCAGCCTTTGAGGGCATGGAACGAAACAACGAGGGAAGTCCCACCCAATGTTCCCTCTAAGCTGTGGAGTCCTTTGAGCAAAAATTCTACTTTGTGAGCTCCTGGCATTAAAGGGGTGAGGGAGCAATTTGGCTACTGCATAAATTAGTGTGCTCCGGAGCCCTCCTTCCTGAGCTAAGACCAAAATGTGTGAGCCAGAGGCTAAAAGACTGTGAGCTAGCTCACACTAACTCAGCTTAGAGGGAATACTGGTTCCAGTTGTTGAATTTCCAAATGTCGTTCCTCACCAGTCTAAATCTTAATTTGAAATGAACTGTTTGGCATTGATCTGCTGTTTCTGTGAGAACGGTCACACTCATCCTGAGCTTGATGAACCACTGGCCTGATTTGGCATCGGGACACTTTGTACGTGAAGATTTACTGGCTTGTTTAAAAGGTTTGCATTCCCGTCTCCCGTGGCGAAGGCTTTGGGAAACGCTAATAAGTTTTGTAGGACAGTTCCAAGTCATAACAATACAAGCCTCCCTCTGATTGAAAATTAGCAATTTAAGAGACGTGATTACAAAATTAGACACGTGATTACAAAATTAGCCATTTAAAAAAGCCCCTGACAACCTGAGATCCAACATTCCAAAAGTTTCCGAGAAGGAAGGGAAGGGGACAAAATCAACTAAAAACGTGGTGATCCAAGAATATTGTTGATTGGAGCCTAAACCTCTGAATGTTCCCTCTAAGCTGTGGAGTCTTGTGAGCAAAAATTCTACTTTTGTGAGCTACTGGCATTAAAGTTGTAAGCGAGCCATTTGACTACTGCATAAATTAATTTGCACTGGAGCCATCCTTCCTAAGCTAAGACAAAAACATGTGAGCCAGAGGTTAAAAAACTGTGAGCTAGCTCACATTAAATCAGCTTAAAGGAACACTGCTGGGTACTAAGCAGACAGTTGTGCAGAGGACATTCCGCTGTTGAGGTGCCACTGCAGATAAGGCCCTGTCCCTAGCAGCTCCCTCCCCCCCCCGTGAATGAATGGGGGAGTTATTGTCTTCGAATGCTCACAATCTTTCGGAGAGAGAAAGAGACTGACTAGTGGGTCAGGAAATGGTTAATCATTCCCCACGATCCCCTGAGGCCAGTCGCCCCAGTTGGCTTGCTGACTTGTATTAGAAGTGAATGCCAATTGCTCACATTTCCATTCCTTTGGACACCTTCTAGGGGATTGTTTTGGCTGTGGACGAAGAAGAGAAGGAACCCAGCCAACCCAAATGAAACAATATCAGGTTGGGAGGCTCCAGCGGCAGCAAGGAAGTAGTACTAGAGATATCCAAGATTATTTTGCTTCTCTTCGGCATCTCAGGTGGGGGGTGCAGCTGGATCTTCTCAGCTGGAATGGCGGAGATAAGGAAGAGGAAGGGGAGGGGGCTGGCAGGGAGACGCTCCCGAGACCGCGGCGCTTGGGATGTTAAAATTAGAGCATCCAAAGGAAGTTTGAAATTGCATCTCTTTCTGGCATCTGGTTGGTGGCAGACCTCTCATACAGAGGTATTTGAAAGGACTTGGCCTTGATCTTCTCCCCTGGATATCCTTACCGGGGCAGGGGGGGAATTAACGGCTGCCAGTGTTCTGCTGGAAAGGCTGCTACGTTTTTGCTTTCTCAAGAATTCCACACCGCAGACATAACTTCTTTTTTGCAAATGAGGCAGAAATCCTCACTTGTGAATCCAACCCTTTGTCATTGCGTCTGCTGCAGTCCTCGCTAAAAACAGAATCTTGTGAAGGATCAGCCTACTTTGCCGGATATGTGACATCTCCAGTTTGTGCGTATGACATCACAGTAAACAAGACAAAAAGAATTAGCTCCGCGATATGCCATGGTAACCAGGGTAGACTGATCTCGTCAGATTTCAGAAGCTAAGCAGGGTTGGCCATGGTTTGTACTTGGATGGGAGACCACCAAGGAAGTCCAAGGTGTCTAGGCAGAGGCAGGTTGTCTGTACATTCCGTATCAAATTGAACCTTTAACAACATACAGAATAAACTAGGACAGATTACAGCATTGTTGAAATAAGAGTAATAAGAAGAGTTAAAATTCAAATATGACATTGAATCTTCACTGTGTCTTATCTTGAAAAAATAAAACAGCCGTCTCAGTTATGCCAGGGAAAACATCATTCAAAATATATTGGACCTTAACGTGATCGGACAATCCCGTCTTATTTTCAAGAACGGGGTCAAGATACTTAAAGCGAACGTTTGCATAAAAAGGGCAATAAAAGAGGATATGCGAGATGGTTTCAATGCATTTTAACTCACGCAGGCAGAGTCTAGCAGAGTAGGCGACCTTTTGAAATCTGCCATATAGAACTGCTGGTGGCCTTACATTAAATCTGGCCAAAGTGAAGGCTCTACGCTGTTGGGGATTTTGCAGAGAGTAAAGGTAAGGTAAGAGGCCATGTGACCTACACTGAATGTAATCCCTAACCTCAAAGGAGAGCAAGTTTTATTAGCAGCACGGTAAAGATTTTGTATTCCCAGTAGTCATGTATGGCTGCGAGAGTTGGACTATGAGGAAGGCCGAGCGCCGAAGAATAGATTCTTTTGAACTATGGTGCTGGAGAAGACTCTTGAGAGTCCCTTGGACTGCAAGAAGATCAAATCAGTCAGTCCTAAAAGAAATCAACCCTGACTGTTCCCTGGAAGGCCAGATAATGAAAGTGAAGCTCAAATACTTTGGCCACCAAATGAGCAGGGAGCACTCACTGGAGAAGACCCTGATGCTGGGAAAGATTGAAGGTCACAGAAGACGGGGATGGCAAAGGATGAGATGGTTGGACAGTGTCAGTGATGCAACAAACATGAAATTGAGCCAACTTCAGAGGACAGTGGAAGACAGGAGGGCCTGGCGGGAGCTGGTCCATGGGGTCGCGAAGAGTCGGACTCGACTGTGCGACTGAACAACAAAAGATTTTGTAGCTCAGTATCCAAAACTCTATGTTTCATACCTTGGAAACCCTAAAGGGTCACCATATCTTGGCTGCATCTTGAAGGCATTTCCACCAACGACTTCCTGTTGTAACAGATCTATTATGGCAATATCCCTTGGCTTTTGGCTGGGTCGAAAATGGAAACCAGACAAAGCCCAGAGGCATCATCCCATCAAGCTGCCTTGACGTGTGTGTTTTTTGGACAGAGTTTACGTGTTAGACACTGACATCAGCAGGCACGGCACTTCCCGACAGAGAAGCCAGGCCCCCTGCCCACAAGACTCGGTCAAGGGCCAGTCCCTAAGTGTTCAGGTGTCTCCGGGTCTAGAGTGATGCCAACCGGCAGTCGCTTTCCAAAGGAAGCACAAACTCAGCCTGGCAGCTTCAGCTCATCGCGAGAAGCGTTACTCAGACGGAAGGCTCCAGCCTCAGAACTTGCCTTTTGAGGGTCTCTTGGAACTGGATTGGTTCTCGGGGTCCACTGACTGGCTACCCCAGTTAGGTGGCAGGGCTGGCGCTGCCTTTGAGTTGCTACGGTCAGGCATGCAGCAGGAAAAAACAACCACCACCCCAGGTGGGCTGATGATGCCAAGAGGTTAAGTGCTCGAGCCCTAGGGGAGGAAACAGACCGAAGATCTGGTTTTCCAATCGCTTCCTTTCTCCGGATTCTGATAGTCCGTGGTTGGGTCTAAGCTAGGGATCTGCAAAACAGTTCTCAGGAAATCACTTGAGAAGGAAGTCATCATTTATTCATTCACTGGATTTCTATCCCGCCCTCCCAGCCAAGGCTGGCTCAGGGCGGCTTACATAAAATCAGTGCATAATTTAGAATAAAATATGAGTAGAAATTTAGTAAGAAGAAGAAGAGAAGAGATTGGATTTATACCCCGCCCTTCACTACCCAAGGGACTCTCAGAGCGGCTTACAAACTCCTTTCCCTTCCCCTCCCCACAACAGACACCCTGTGAGGTGGGTGGGGCTGAGAGAGCTCTGACACAAACTGCTCTTTTTCAAGGACAGCTCTTGTCAGAACTACGGCTTGCCCAAGGTCATCCAGCCAGGTGCAAGTGGAGGAGTGGGGAATCAAACCCGCTTCTCCCAATTCTAAAATCATTTAAACTGTAGAATTCAGTAAAGCGCTAGTAACATTAATTTCCCGGTGGCTCTGATTACTCAGTTCACTCTTCTCACAGTCGGTTCCCTGATCTTCTTTGAATTGTCCCTCCGGCGGCAGACTCAAGGTGTTATTAAAAGTTCCGGGGGAAACAAAAGGGCTCTCTCACCTTCACCTTTCAGTTGTTAACGGTGGTAGTTAATGGCAGGGCTTTTTTCGTAGAAAAATCCCAGCAGGAACTCATTAGCATAATAGGCCACACCCAATGGCAGAAACCCGTTAGCATATTAAGCCGCACCCCTGACATCACAGCTCATTAGCATATTAGACCATACCCCCATGTTACCACACTTACCTTTTGTTTCTTATTCTGTTTAACTTGTTTGTTATCAAAACCAGGGGTTTTTTTGTAGCAGGAACTCCTTTGCATGTTAGGCCACACACCCCTAATGTAGCCAATCCTAATGAGTTTCTGCTGTTGGGTGTGGCCTGTTATGCTAATGAATTCCTGCGGGGCGTGGCCAACTCAGGAGCCAGCCGGAACTCCGTTCCTGTGCGTTCCTGCCCAAAAATAGCCCTGGTTAATGGTGGCGGCAGCTCCAAAAGCCCGGCGGAAGAGCTCCGTGTTACAGGCCCTGCGGAACTGCATATCCCTGTTCCCTGCTTCCCTTCCCAGTTGTCAAGAACAGCAACAAAAAAGGGCCATTCTTGCTGGGGTGTTGTTTGTCTCTTGGCTCATCCAGAGCTGTCTACTCTTCCGTCCTATTCTGCAGCGACCCACTGTGATCTGGATTGGGCAAGTTTGTTTTATGTCCGTAAGTGTTCCAAAGGGGAAAGGAACACTCATAGGGGTTAAGAAGCTGGGACGGCAGGTGGGTGCATTTCCAGCTGATACGCTCTCCTTGTCTTTCTAGTAAGAAACCCGTGTGCCGATCGGAATGGAGGCTGTATGCACAAATGCCAAAATCGCCGTGGGGTGGCACAGTGCGAATGCCATCCTGGATACAGGCTGGGGCATGACCACAAAGCGTGTGAAGGTATGGGCCATATCGTAAGAGCTTTGTGCCAACGAACCAGAACCCTAGTTTTGTTTTTCCTGTAAATGCCAGGTTAATCTCGGTGGCTGTTGTAATCAGTGGTCAGGTCTGGTTTTAAAGGATGATAAATGAGCCTTCAGCCATTAGGGAAGACAACGCTCACAAAAATATCCCAGTTACTTCCTGCTCCAGCTGTCGGCCCTTGATAACCCAAGAACTGTGTAGTGGGACTCATTAAAATATTTTCTTAAAACTTTTTAAAAATATGTCTGAACACCCCCCCCACACACACACCCAGTTCTGTGCTTAGAAGAAACAATGCAAGAGGGATTCCAAGATGCTGAAAGTAATAGAAAATTGTGTGGTAGGAATAAGGTTAGGGGAGGGATGTTGGAACCTCTAATCAAGGCTGGGCTTTTGTTACCTAAAAGACAGGGGGAGGGGCAAATAACCCAATTTCAGGCCTTCATGCATTTGACTGGCTCAGGTGTGTTCCATGAAGCTAGTTTCCGTTCAGTAGCCCTGTTAGTCTGTAGTAATAGAACAAAATTTGAGTCCAGTAGCACCTTAAAGTCCAGCAAAATTCTCCAGGGTATAAGCTTTTGTAAGGCAAAGTTCACTTTTGTTAGACTCACAGAAGCTTGGGAAATTGTCGTGGTCTTTAAGTTGCTACTAGGCTCGACTATTGTTTGAGTGGCTTCTTGCCTTGTGGTGTGGGAAATGTGATGGGCACCTGTTGCTGAAAAATGACATTTCTTGAGCTCTCAAAATATACTTTTTTAAAGGGAACGGGGTGGCAGTAGAACCACGGTACTCAGGGTTGTGCTTTTTATAACGGGAACGGCACGTCAGATTTAATGTCTGTGGGAAATATTGGGCAAGGGGTTTTTTAACCGCTGTGTTTATTGGATGTGTGTGTTGCACTGTTTTTATTAAATCGTTCTTTCGTTTTTGTGATCCACTTTTGTTGCCTCATTTGTTGTGTGTATCGTGTGGTCCACATCATCTTTTGCATTGTTTTCCAATTCTGCAATCCACCTGGAGTCTCTTGATGAGAAAAGCAGACTGTACATGAAACAAAGAAAGAAGAAAACGGAACAGCCTAGAGAACACGAAGGCCTCCTAGCCTGCCACTGCAGCCCTTGCATGAAAAATGGAGTCAGGCTGGCGGTTGGTCGCGCTGGTGTCATAAGTGCATCGTGCGCCAGGAAGTGAGATGATTCACTGGAGAGAGAACAGAATGCAGGCAAATAAGTCTTCCTCATGTTCCCTCCTTCCAGATATAAATGAATGTGTGGCTGGGCTGGCCACGTGCGCACACGGTTGCCTGAACACCCGCGGCTCCTTTAAATGCACTTGCAATCCAGGCTACGAACTAGGGGCAGATGGCAAGCAATGTTATCGTAAGTAGCTGCCCTCTATTTGCTTCTGTCCTGTTAAAATATAAAGCTGAGATTGCCATCGTGGCTTGCGAATCTGACCTTATGCGATGAGGGAGGGGCTGGGGTTTGAGGAGGGATTGTTGCCTTTCTAGCAGAAGAAACTTGGGAAGGGAGGCGAATCCACATGTTGGTTTTACAGTTTAGAACAGAGGTGTCAAACTCATTTGTTATGAGGGCCGGATCTGAGATAAATGTCACTTGGTCAGGCCGGGCCACGTGTGTCATAAAATGTAATGCCAGGTACCGGAGATATAAACTTTATAAAGGACAGAGACAAACCTAATGAACAATATTATTTTTTACTCAAAATATAAACAAAGCCTATTGATTCCTAGCAGTGAAAGCAGTTGATTTACTGGGGAACCCACAAACGCCCCAATAAATGTATTTAATCATATGTAAGACTAGTTTTCCCCCAAAGGATACCATAGAAGGGGGAGTACCTTACATTTCCATACATACCCATGTCTTGTAGGCCAGGTAAGAGCCCTGCCAGTTCTGGACCCCGGGCCTTGTTTGACACCCCTGGTTTAGAATTTAGTTCTGTCATACAAAAAAACCTGTTCTGAAATTTTTTAATCTGTACAAAGCGTGGCCAACAATGGCTATGACAAAAATACATTTCAGTGTGGTAGCCACTGTGGTCTTCCACAGCCAAACAACAAAACTGTTTTGTGGCAGCCTAATGGCTAACAATTTTACTATGGCACAAGGTTCTGTGAGTCAGTGCCCAGTCTATGGGATGCAAGAAGTGTTGCATTCAGTTGTCAGAGTGATTTATACCTAAAGCTACAAACGGAAGAGGGGCAAGGGGTGAGGGGAGTTATTACGCAGAGAGAGCAGAAGACCCCGTTTCCCAGGACAATTTGAGTGATATTACATTGCGAAGCACAGGTGGCAACAACACCCAGTCGAAAGAGTAAATGATGCTCTCAGAGTGGGCAGGGGACCACTCTCAGTGGCGAATGAATGACCAAAATAGGACGAATGTTAAAAATGTGCACACAGCTGTAAGCAGGAGAAATTCTTAGGGTGTTTTGTTGCCTTTCCAGGGATAGAAATGGAAATTGTGAACAGTTGCGAGAGCAACAATGGCGGTTGTTCCCACCTTTGCCGTCATACAAGTTCTGGACCTGTCTGCGCCTGTAATCTGGGGTACCAACTGGATGAAGACCAGAAAACTTGCATTGGTAATCAAATGACTGATCTGGTAATTGGGTAGATGAAGAAATGATCCCCTTTTCAGAGAAGGCATATCAGTGTGATGACTGATAGTGTATCTTCTTCTGTTTTGCTCCCATGTGAACTGCACTGACAGAGTTGCTCCTATATGCCAGTTTACTGATGTGGGACAAAAGAGGCACAACAGTGTTCCCTCTAAGCTGAGCTAGTGCGAGCTAGCTCACAGTTTTTTTAGCCTCTGGCTCACACATTGTTGTCTTAGCTCAGGAAGGATGGTTCAAAAGCAAACTGATTTATATCATAGCCAAATTGCTTGCTCACAACTTTAATGGTAGTGGCTCACAAAGTTGAATTTTTGCTCACAAGACTCCACAGCTTAGAGGGAGCATTGAAAACGGGCACATTCCAACCGGCCACTTACATTTTTAGAGCCACCATTTGTGCATTCCCCTGCCTTGGAGGACCCTATTTGGGTGGAGAGGCAGCATAGAAATATGTTAAACATTTAAATAAATGAGGGTCAGAAGCAATGCTCCCTCTAAGCCGTGGAGTCTTGTGAGCAAAAATTCAGCTTTGTGAGCTACTACCATTAAAGTTGTGAGCAAGCGATTTGGCTACGATGGTCCTGTCCATACGAGGCCTTTTGGGCCGGGAGCGGGACGGAATGGGGGCGGAGCAAACGGGCACGATCCCACGGCAACATCTGGGAATCGTTGCCTGCCCGTCCCTGTTCCGTACCAAACGCTGATACCGCGCAGCAAAAAAGCACCACCTTCCTAGGTGGTTGTATCCCTTGGAGCGGCTCAAGGCGGGCCGTGGGATCGGCCGGCGCGTCCTTGTGCCACCGCATCCCGGCCCCCAGCCGAACTGCGCATGCTCGAGCATGCGCAGTTCGGCAGCCTCCCCCTCCCATCGGACTCTTGCTCCCCGGCATCTGATCGTGCCGGGGAGCGATGCGCCGCGGCTGAGGGAATCCGTGGGATCCCGCCGCGGCGTCTCAAGTTCGGTGCGGCTCTGATTAGCCGCGTTTCAGCCGTCCCGTGTGGCAGCAGCCGATATAAATCAGTTTGCTTTTGAACCATCCTTCCTGACCTAAGACAAAAATGTGTGAGCCAGAGGCTAAAAAACTGTGAGCTAGCTCACACTAACTCAGCTTAGAGGGAACACGGGCCAGAAGACATGCTGCAGACTGCACCTTCTGCATGCAAAACGTATGCTGTGCTTCAGAGCTATGAGGACTCCCACATGAAATGGCCACATGAAGTCGCTTTGTACTGAGTCAGACTAGTGGTCCATATAGCCAGAACTGTCTGCTCTTAATAGTAGCAGTCGGGGGTCGTTTCGTAGGAAAAGAGCTAGGGGAACTCATTAGCATAACTCATTAGCATATGCCACACCCCCTGACATCACCGGAAGTGTGTCATAAGGCCACACACCCCGCCCCCAACGGTCCCGGCTGCCGCTGCCGGCTTTGCAGCTCCACTGCCGAGCCCCATGAGGGGCCCGGCGGTGGACCTGCAAGGCCGGCAGGAGTGTAAGGAAGCCCCGCGAAGGCCCTCCCTGGCCCCAGGCAGGCAGGGGTGGGGAGAGGCAGGGAGGAAGCAACTTACCCTCCCTCTTCTCCTGCCTCCTCCTGGCTGAATGAGGGCCGGAAGCGGGGCGGCCGGAAGCAGGGGGCGGGGCTTCATCATGTGCCCCGCCCCCCGTACCTCACCCGGGGGAACTGTGATCCCCCGCGATCCCCCCCGAAATGACCTCTGGTAGCAGTTCTCCATGTACTGCTCCCCCCCCCTGACCCTCTTTGAAAGGGAGTTGCCACAGCTTGAGCCTGGGACCTTCAGAACGCAAAGCAGGAGATCTGTCACTGAGCCTATGGGCCTTCCCAGCTTGTCTTGCAAGAGAAGGGGCCAACAGAAGTATCCTCACACGCATCCTTTATGCAGAAATGCATCCACAAGGGTACATATGTACATTAAGGGCTGTCAAGTCACAGCCGACTTATGGCGACCCCAGCGAGAGGCTTTCAAGGCAAGTGAGAAACAGAGGTGGTTTGAAACGGCCTTATGCACAGTGGTACTACTTCATTCACAGCACCAGCAGAATGCTTGACCAATCGCATGACCTCCATCAGCAAGCAAAATTCTAAAACTCAGGTCCTCATCTGGTTAATGTAGGCTGCCTGCCGGACAGACTGTGCATGGAAGTGTGTGTGTGTGTGTAAACAGCATGATTGCAAATGTCTGCGTTTAATTTTGTACTATGCTGTACCGAGTCCCGTTCAGGCAATTAAATTAATCAGCAACTCTCCGCAGATCTTCCCAGCCAGGCATTTCCTGCACTGGGAACTGGCTTAGTGAAAGTTTAAATTTTTTTGTGCTGGATATATCTGAGCTGCACAATGCCAAGCACAGGTCTTTGTAGGTGTGCACCTTGAGTGGGCTGAGTGACTTTCAGAGAGCTGTTGAACCCAATCATGTCTGCACCCTTCCTACATTCAAGTTGTAGATTTTGTGGAGAGCTTTCTCGACTTTTCCCCGTGTCTGGGACAATCAATCTGAATATTTTACTGTTTCGTTCAGCACTGTCCCATCTTCGGCACAATTGACTGGTTTTATTCCAAACCTTGTAATTCACAGAACATCTAAAGAGATCATTGCAGTTCTATTCTTTAAACTTAAGAGTATGCAAACAACCTAGCTGGATCTACCAAAGGTCCCTCTAGACCAGCATCTTGATTCCAACAGAGGACAGTTTCTGGGATGCTCATAACCAGGACAGACTCTCACAGCATTTGGTATTTAACAGCAGGTAGCCATTGATTTATCCTCTATCAATTTGTCTAATCCATTAAAAAACCCAGCTCATTGGATGTCCCTGCACCAAGAGGCTGAGTTGGCCATTTAGAGAGGTGTTGGGGGACTACACGTAAACTGGGGGAATCTCAACCAAGTTCTGGATCTTCAGAGGTTTCCCTGGGATGTTTGCCTTGCTGGCTTTCTCTCTTCTTCTATCTGCAACTCCCTGGGGCTGGAAGCAGTTCTCAACTTATTTCTCCCTAAGCCCCAAATCTGCTTCCTTGGTAATAAGTCCCTTGCTTACCTGGTGGGGGAATACCCACCAGGTTAAAGCGCTTGGGGCTCTTTAGCTTGGAGAAATGATGACCGAGGGGTGACATGATTGAGGTTTACAAGGTTATGCATGGAATAGAGCAGGTAGAGAAGGAAGTACTTTTCTCCCTTTCTCACAATACGAGAACTCGTGGCCGCTCAATGAAATTGCTGAGCAGTCGGGTTAGAACGGGTAAAAGGAAGTCCTTCTTCACCCAAAGGGTGATTAACACATGTAATTCACGGCCACAGGAGGTGGTGGCTCCAGCTACAAGCATGGACGGCTTCAACGGGGAATTGGATAAACATATGGAACAGAGGTTCATTAGTGGCTATTAGCCACAAGGTATAGATAGGAACTCTCAGGCCGGGGCAGGGGATGCTCTGTATTCTTGGTGCTTGGGGGTGGGGGCAACAGTGGGAGGGCTTCTAGTGTCCTGGCCCCACTGCTGGACCTCCTGATGGAACCTGGTATTTTTACCCACTGTGTGACAGAGTGTTGGACTGGATGGGCCATTGGCCTGATCCAACATTGGCTTCTGTTATGTTCTTATGTACCCCCAACCAGGGGTCATTTTGTAGAAAAAGAGGTGCAGGAGCTTATTAGCATAACTCATTAGCATAACTTATTTGCATATGCCACACCCCCTGACATCACCGGAAGTGTGTCAGAAGGCAACACCCACCGCTCAGGCTCCACTGGACTGTTCTGGATTGCTAGCTATTGAAAGGGGGGACAACGTGCAGATCTGTCCTGGCAGAGGAGGGAGAGCTTGTACCTGAATAAAACTTGGTCTTAAAAGTGCCACTGGACTGTTTGGGCCCGGGGTGTGTGTGTGCTCTGCAACTTACCTGGCTGCTTCTTGCTCTGACTGAGGGCTGCTGGGAGTAGGGGGTGGGGATTGTTGCATGTGCCCGCCCCCTGGGCTCTTTACTGCCGGAGCGCCGCTCCTGTGCACTCCTGCAGGATATGACCCCTGCCCCCAACTGATGTGGACAATCTCCTCCTTACAAAGTTGTGTAATGTTCCAAGCTCAGAATCCAAATCCTGTGCAATTTTGCATTCAGATTCTAAAGCAAGCTTGCCTCCAGAGTCTTCTCACCCCCAAACTAGGAGTAACCCTGCATCTACTCCTGATTGCCAATTAACATATAGCATTGTATAATGTATGATGTGATCTCGTGCTTCACATTTTCGTGGTCTCCATTCAGTTTCAGTGGCGGCTGATGAAAGGGGGAGCAAAACGTATATCCCATTGATGCTTCAGTGGGTCCAACAAGCCATTGTGCTTTATGGGCGATTGTGTTGAGAATAAACATCTCACTGACAACATCAGGTTTGCAGATGTTACCAGAGGTTAAGCAGGAGGCCTGTAGCTACAGTGGGACATCTCGGGGCCTGGCCCCCTGACTTCCTGCCAAGGCCCCCGACTCCCCATCCAGCCCAAGCCCCCCAACTTCTAATTTTTTATTTTATTTGTGGCGCTCCCTTGGGAGTGTGTGTGGGGTGCCCCCTGACTTCTTTAAAGGACCCCTGTATTTTAAAAATCCTGGTTACAGGCCTATTAAGCAGAGGTGGCAACACATGGCTGTTACTTTGGGTGTTGGTTCCTATCCTGTTCACACATGCATAGGAATGAGGTAGCAGAGGTTTGAAGTAGTAGAACGGACTGAACCATTCCAGGTGGCAGGTGGATGATATCGGAGGATCACAGTTTTGGAATGCTTCCCTCATCTCTCTCTTTTTAAACTCCCTGCACAAAACCCAGCACAAAATCAACGAAAGTGCTAGTCTTCTGCTTAGATTGAGCTTTTCTAATGCAAAGGTCTATCTGAAGTTGCAATCCACCCCCTGTAGACTGTAGAGGTACAGTCCCGTTTTACCAGCTCAGCACTGTACCGCCAGGGAACTCCGTCAGTGTGAGCTGTCCCAGCAGGCACCCAGAGCAGCAAATCAGAAGTCATCTCTCGAGTGCTTGTGAATCAGCCCCAAAGTGTTTTAAGCAGCAGATGAAGTTTGGGGATCTCTGCATTATAGAATCATAGAACGTTAGAGCTGGAAGGGACCTTGCAGGTCATCTAGTCCAGCCCCCTGCACTCTGCAGGAGCATAGCCGAGCAAGATCTGGGCTGAGCCCTCCTTTGTTATACGCATTTAAGCCTGGGCATGACCAGAAGCATGAGCCTTTGGCCATGAATCGAAGGACGAGGCTCTTGGCCCTTTGCTGGTCGTAGCCTATGGTTTACAACCTGTGGCCATGACAGGCTAGTGCAGAGGTGTCAAACTCATTTGTTACAAGGGCCGGATCTGACATAAATGTCACTTTGTTGGGCTGGGCCATGTGTGCCAGAAACGTCATGCCAGGTACCAGCAGGGGTCATTTCCTGCAGGAGAGCACAGGAACGGAGCTCCGGCAGTAAAGAGCCCAGGGGGCAGGCACATGCAACAAGCTCCACCCCCTTCTCCCAGCAGCCCTCAGTCAGACCAAGAAGCAGCCAGGTAAGTTGCAGAGCTCCCCCCGGCCCCCCAGTCCAAAACAGTCCAGTGGCACCTTTAAGACCAAGTTTTATTCAGGTACAAGCTCTCCCTCCTCTGCGAGGACAGATCTGCACGTTCCCCCCCCCCAATAGCTAGCAATCCAAAACAGTCCAGTGGAGCCTGAGCGGTGGGTGTTGCCTTCTGACACACTTCCGGTGATGTCAGGGGGTGTGGCATATGCTAATGAGTTATGCTAATGAGCTCCTGCACCTCTTTTTCTACGAAATGACCCCTGGGTACCAGAGATAGAAACAGTGTATAAAGGACTGCAGCTGGTGAGCTCCGAGTGGATGTATCCTCGCTGCAAGGCCCCATGGGCCGGGAGGGGGGTGCAAAGGAAAAGCCATATGGGCGGACTGGGGAGTCAGCGGTGCAGCCCTGGGCAGATGCTCCCACGCTGCTCGACTGCTGCCAATGAGGTTGTTCCGCCGTGCTAAAGCCACAGTCAGAGTGGCTCCGCCCACTCCCCCCCCCTGAGCCGTCTCCTGTTCCCTCCCTTGCACTAGCAGGCCGCATAAGAACCCCGGATGGGCCCTTATGCTTGACCCCTCTTTGTTAGTGGATTGAGGACAAGCAGGGGTCATTTCCTGCAGGAGCGCACAGGTGTCAAACTCCTTAGTTACAAGGGCCGGATCTGACATAAATGTCACTTTGTTGGGCTGGGCCATGTGTGCCAGAAACGTCATGCCAGGTACCAGCAGGGGTCATTTCCTGCAGGAGAGCACAGGAGCGGAGCTCCAGCAGTAAAGAGCCCAGGGGGCGGGCACATGCAACAAGCCCCACCCCCTGCTCCCAGTAGCCCTCAGTCAGAGCAAGAAGCAGCCAGGTAAGCTGCAGAGCCCCCCCCAATCCAAAACAGTCCAGTGGCACCTTAAAGACCAAGTTTTATTCAGGTACAAGCTCTCCCTCTGCCAGGACAGATCTTCACCCCCCCCAATAGCTAGCAATCCAAAACAGTCCAGAGGAGCCTGAGTGGTGGGTGTTGCCTTATGACACACTTCCGGTGATGTCAGGGGGTGTGGCACATGCAAACAAGTTATGCTAATGAGTGATGCTAATGAGCTCCTGAACCTCTTTTTCCAGGATGTTGGAGTGTTGCACTGTTTATTTGTTCAAACTCTTTTGGGGGGGGGGGTTGTTTTGTAAGCCGCTTTGGGTCCCCACCGGAAAGAAAAGCAGGGTGAGAAAGCCTTAAACGATAAATAAACGAGCTTGTGTCTCCTCCTCCTCCTCCCTCCGTTCCGATGCCAGCAGACACACATTTTTTATCTCCTTGTTTTCTCAGATACAGACGAATGC